GTGTGTGTGTGTGTGTGTGTGTGTGTGTGTGTGTGTGTGTGTGTGTGTGTGTGTGTGTGTGAGAGAGAGAGTTGGGTTGGTTAGTATGAGTAAGGTAGTTGTGTGTGGGAAGTAACGTCTGGAGACAATACACGCTGGACCTCTGTTGGACCTTCTGTCGTGACGTCATTGGGAGTGTGTATGCGTGTCTGTGCGTGCATGCGTGCGTGTGTGCGCGTGCGTGCGTGCGTGCGTGCGTGTGTGACTCCCTAGGAATTTCGCTATGCATGACCAGAAAAATCCCAAAACATTGAATTCATTTGATTACTGATTTCACTGTTTCAATATCACATTCTGAAGTATACTAATGCACCACAGATATATGTAGTGTTATTTATGTCCTGCGGTTATTGTTTACACACGCGTTATTGTTATGGTAATTTGTTTAAATTTGAGACTGTGGACTCCTTCGTTTTGATGAGGACTCCTTCATCTTGAGCACATGTGCGTTCGTCTGCTGATTTTAAATTCAAAAGTTAATTTTTACCACTGTAACTGACTGGGCTTTATCTCTCTGTGTCTGAAGTCTGACACAGGCGTGTCTAACTACAGAGTCCGTGCGTCCTCCCTTTGTTGAGGATGTGTGTAGAAGAAGTGTCTGGCGCCTTTGCTGCGAAATTGGGGTTCGCTTGTACTTTCCCGTCATTTATTTACATTCGGAGAAATGAGATTCCTTGCTTTTCTTATTCGAAAACCAGCCTGGCTCCGCCTCGCTTCTTCTTTGCCCACAATTACTAAACTTGCTTGACTAATTGCTCTTTATTATCTAAAGGCGTCTCGCACGCAACCCTTTTCTCCAAGTTATCGTGTTTGTCGAAAAAATCGCTTCCGCCGGAGAGTAATAGAGCTTTTGTGACCCCTCTCTCTGTACCTGTTACCGTGTTAGCTTAAAGAATTACGGCTGCTTGTCTGGAAGAGCGCTGTCGTGTTCTCTGCCTCCCGGTGATCGTGTTCGCTAAAAGGAGGGGGCACTCGCATATGATAAGGGCTTCTCTCGCACCCTCTCTCGCGCCTGTTATATCGTATTTGCCGAAAGAATTGCCTCTCTCCTGACAATAAGTACCTCCCTTACACAGTCTCTCTCTATCTCTCTCTCTCTCTCTCTCTCTCTCTCTCTCTCTCTCTCTCTTTCTCTTTCTCTTCTAGCAGTAACAGTGTTTGCCGAAGAAATCGCTTCTCCTTTGCGCAGGGAAAAAGTACGCTCCTCTAACCGCCTTCAGAGCCAGCATCTTCCTTGCCCCCCCCAAGTTATCACCAACGGAATAGTCGCTCCAAGAAGAACGGTTTTATCTTTATTGAAAGCTGAGTCCACAGCGACGCCGTTAACAGGAAGGATATATAAAATTGTTGTATTTTGTCTTGGGTATAATTTATAAACTTTAAAGTGCTTAATGGTGTACACGTGCACTGTTTACCTGCTGGTTTGTATGCACTTTTGTAATTGGCCCATTGAATGCACACGTGGTAGCAGCTACACGTGCACTTTGTTCTGTTTTATTATGTTTACTAATTTATTTAGTGAATTATCCATATATACATACTCTTACAATATATTTTAAATTCATGAAATTAGATAGCTACTAATGACATATACACAAAAAGTATGACTAGCACAGTTATTTACATTGTGGTCCTTGCTACTGCTGCTACATCACTGTTAATAATAATAACACTGCCATCAGCACTTTAAACTATCGAAATATACAGAATTGTAGTTTTCTACAAGTTATCATTTCATAATTTAAACATTTCTTATGTTGATCGTCTTTGGTGGCGTCACGGAGTTTCACGGGATATATGTTTATTTGTAGAAAATTTCTTCTGA